TGATGCCCCCCGCCCCCTGCAGCCCTGGAGCCCCCGCCCCGCTGAGCACCCACCAACCCCAGCCCTCGAGGCCGCAGAGCCTGCGGTCACGGATCCTGGAACGCACAGTCAATGTTTCCAGGAAACTCCAACCACATCTCACACATGCCCACAGACGCATGTGTGCACACGTGTACATACCCATGCCCACACGCACGACACACAGGCACATATCCACACACACAGCACATGTACAGCAGACACACATGCACTCACACACAGCACACGCCAAATACACACAACAGACACATGCACACACTCACACATGACACACATACCTACACACACAGCAGACACTCACGCATGCGCATGTGTAGATACACATGCCCACACACTCGGCACATTACAGCACTGACACAGATGCACATGCTCACACACAGCACACACACCTACACACACAACACAGGCATGCATGGACACATGGCACACATACAGCAGTCACAAGCACATGGTGACACACGACACACACAACACAGACACACACGCTCACACACAGCACGTGCACACACACGGCACACACAACACAGGTGCACAAGGCCACACACGACACACACCTACACACATGCTCGAGCTTCATTGGTCCAGGTGATATCCAAACCCCCGCCAGGGTCACATCTGTGTCCCTCAAGCTGCTGGGGTGACAATGGGGACCCCAACATAGGGGCCCCTGCCTGCCACAAGCCCCTGCGGTGACAGGGGTGTCCCAGGACCACAGCCCCTCCCTCGGCTCCATCCTCACGTCCCCTGGTCCGCCCTCCAGGCGCCAGGACCCCGAGAACAGGCTGAGGCTGAGGGAAGGCCCCCTTGCCCTGTGTGACCCCTCTACGGAGCTTGGACAGCCGGTCAGCACCCCAGGCCACGGCCCCTTTGGCACCGCCCCCGCTGAAGGGAGCCAGGAGGCCCCGGGACCCCTCGGCCAGCTCTGGGACAGCTCCAGGCTGCTGGGTGGGGCGCACGCCGGGCACAGCTCCGGCCACTCGAGCTTAAGGAGAACGGACCAGGCAGCATCTGGACTCGGTGCCCGAGGGCCAGCAGCTGGCCGAGTGGGCTTCTGGAGAGCAACTTTCTATTAAACCAGGTGAACAGGGGCAGCTCCCGTGTGTGTGGCTGGGCCTCGGGTGGGAGGGCGGCCCCAGCCCGGCC